TTGAGATTATAACTTAACTCAATCAGTCATTTGCTAGGTCAAAAATCAGAAATTGCACCTTCTCAATCAAAACCCTAATTTTGACATTTTGCCCTTTTGATGATCTGATCAAATTTATTATGGAATTATGGTCCAAACTTGATCAAATGACATATATGAGTTCATGATGTTGATATGGATACAAAATTATGAAGTTTGACTGTAAATTGACCACAGTTGACTTTTTCCCCAATACAATTGTTTTTAGGTCAACTAATCAATTGACTGAGCAAAAATGTGATCCAAGACTTGAAACTTGACATTAGCAATCTTGAGGGTCCAAAATGATCCATGAAAGTCATATGGGGCATCAAAAGTCCATTTAATCTTGTGCAATCTCAAACCCTAATTTTCAGTCAGCATTGCTTAAGGAGGTGTTTTGAGCTGATCAACCCTTGTTCAGTCTTGAACCAAAGGAGATCTTGTGAGAGATTACTTGAGAAATGAGAGGGAAAATTTTTGGGTACAACAACATGTATTGGCGAAAGATGACCTGTATTGACGAAAGATGGCTTGTATTGTCGAAAGATGGCTTGTATTGTCGAAAGATGGTCTGTATTGGCGTTGTTGCCCAAGTTGGCATTATTAAGATAAGGGTTTTGCCATGTTGGTACCACATGCATTGAGTCATTTTCAGTTTCACTGCATTGCATGGTTAATAATGATTGAATGTCTGAACATTGAGTGAGTCTCTAATTTTGTTATGACAAATGTTGTGTTGTTCATGTATTTAATAGTATTGATGTACATTGTAGCATGATGAACGAAAAAAAGGGCATGAGGTAAAGGTGTAAATGATGTGTACTTGAATTTCTATATGCTCATTATTATGCTTCCTCTTACATTGTTATGATATCTCACCCTTTTCGTTTGATTGTTGCCTCTACATGGGTAACGTGCAGATAATCTGAAGTAGCTCGAGGTCGAGGTCAGCTGAAGAGCTCCTTCAGTTTGGCGTAGATTGAGTCGGTGTCTGCTTTGATACGTAACACTTGGGGGTTTCACGTTTGTTTTATTTCATTGGAAGTGAACTTTGCACTACTCCATTGTTTGAGTTAATTTTATGACTATGCTGAATTTTGAATGATGATAATTATGACTCCAGTTGGAGAATTGAGATGATTTTTATTGATGTTTTTCCGCTGTGAATAAATGAAAGGAAGTTTAATACTTTTGAACATATGAATTATATTGCGTATCTTAATTAATGAGCATGTATGATGTATGAAGCATGTGACATCCTATTTTTTTGATGTTGTATTTTAGAAATTAATTTACTCTGATTTTTATTTAATTACGGGGAAATAGGGTGTTACAAACTCGACCTGGTCGAAGAAGTTCGAGTAGCAGCGGCTCTCCGCGAAGCCTCCTTATTAACGTTTCCAAAAACTAAAACAAATATCCTTTTTTTAATTAGTTATAAAATAATGATCTAAAAAGAAAAATCAGTAATAATAATAATTAATAAAATTAATTATAATAAAAATAATAGTAATGTTAATAATAATAATGATAATGTTATAGTTAAAACAAAACAATTTTCAAAACAAACAAACAAAAAAAAGCTGAGCGGGCCATATTGTATAAATCTATTGGGCCTTAACAAAATGAATTGTTTTATACACCCCTCAACCTAAATGGGCCATTCTGATTTAGAAAGGCCCATAAATTTCTTCATAAGATGAAAAACCCCCTTTATAAGCCTTAAACCCCATGAATATGATAATAATGTAAAGAAAATGATATCTCTAGAGTTTGATAAGGTATAAAAATGATTGGAAATCTGTAGGGTAAATTAGGGGTACGATAGGATGGGGACAAGAATTCTCATTTTTTCCACAATTCCTTAAAGGAGAGATATAGAGGAACTGTTATTACTTCTTTGGAAGGGGATAATGGGATGGTGGAAGGAGTGGTTGAAATCAAGATGGCAGTTAAGGATTATTTCAAAAGGTTTTTTAAAGAGAGAAATCTTAGAAGACCTTTGCTAGAAGGACTTGATTTCAACACTTTAAGTGAGCAAGATAGATTATGGATTGAGAGACATTTTTCACAGGAGGAAGTGAAGGAGGCGGTGTGGTCGTGTAATGGTGATAAAAGTGTGGGTTCGAATGGTTATTCTCTTGATTTTTATAAACAAAATTGGGAGATCCTTAAGAAGGACGTTTTTAAATTTGTGGCAGACTTTCATGATACAGAAAAATTAACCATGGCGTGTACTTCGTCTTTCTTAACGCTTGTACCAAATATTAAGAACCCGCAATCTTTACCAAGTATAGGCCTTTTTGTTTAGTGGGAAGCTTGTACAAGATACTCTCTAAACTCCTGGCTTCGAGGTTAATAAAAATTTTGGGGAACTTGGTGTCGGATAATCAAACCGTCTTCATATCTGGAAGAAACATTTTAGATGGTGTCCTCATGGTCAACGAGGTGTTGGATATGGCGAATAGAGAGAAGAGAAGTTATATGGTATTGAAAGTAGATTTTGAAAAATCCTATTATTGCATTAGTTGGATTTTCTTGAGGTTTATTCTAGTAAAAATGGTGTTTGGAGAGAGGTGGTTAAATTGGATGGAAGGATGTGTGTTCTCTAGTAGCATGTCTATAAAAGTTAATAGAAGTACTATAAAGGATTTTAAGGCTGAGAGAGGTCTTCGTCAAGGAGATCATATTTAACCCTTCTTGTTTGTCTTGGTGATGGAGGTTCTAACGGCTCTAATGATGAAGGCTAGGGAGATATAAGGGTTTCACGGGTTTAAGATAAACAAAGAGGAGGAAGTGGGTATGCTTAAATTTGCGAATGACACTTTAATTGTGGCGGATGGAGGTAGTGAAAATATTTGGAGTATGAAAGCTATCCTAAGAGGATTTGAAATGATGTAGGGTTTGAAGATAAATTTTCATAAGAGTAAGCTATATGGTCTAAATGTGGGAGATTGGCTTTTAAATATGGCATTGATTTTTCTATCGTGAAATGTAGATTCTTTACCCTTTAAGTTCCTTGGTGTCAAAGTTGGTGATAGCCCATGGAAAGTTTTAATATGGAGAGATTTACTAAGTCTTTTGAAGAGTAGGTTGGCCGTTTGGAAAAGTAGACACCTTTCTCTAGCGGGACATGTCACTTTGATTAATTCAGTTTTGAATGCAATCCGTATTTACTCCTTATCCTTCTAGAAAGCACCTTCTAGCGTTATTTGTGAGATTCGTTCCATCCAAAGAAACTTTCTTTGGTGTGGTTGCGAGAATAAAAGGACTATCCATTGGGTGAATTGGGACATTGTTTGTAAACCTCATGATAAGGGCGGTCTTAGAGTCAATAATGTGGAGGTTATGAATATGGCTCTCTTGAATAAATGGAAATGGAGGATTTTGCAAGAGCACAATGCAATTTGGAATAGGATTTTACGAACTCGTTATGGAAATCCAGCGACAAAGGTTCTTATTAGATACAAAAGTGTGTTGAACAAGAGAGACTCAATTTGGTGGAAAGGTCTTATTACCTCTGATAATTCTGTTTTCCCGCTTTGTAACCAATTTGTAGGGGCTATTTCTTATTGTATCGGTAACGGTGAGGATACCTCATTTTGGCACTCAAAGTGGAACTACTAGCAACCAATGAAGGAGGCCTTCTCGGAAATGTTTCAGCATGCGGAAGACCCAAACAAGTCGGTGGCACTTGGAGGCTCCTGGACATATACTAGTTGGTCCTGGAATTTTTCTTCTTTTTCTGCGACTGGCATTGTACTGTAGACCAGCATCCAGCCTGAGTTTGAGGATTTCGTGAAGGAGATGGAGTTGGAGGAAAACTCTATGGATAGCTTTGAATGGTCGAAGGGATCAAATGGAATTTTTACGGTAAAGTCTTGCTTTGAACACTTTAATGTAAACTCTTCTGTTTCTTCTTATTATGCGAATGTGTTGAAGGCCGTAAACCATTTGTGGAAAATTAAAGTCCCGTCAAAATTACAAATTTTTTGTTGGAGAATCTTGCTTAATAGGATGCCTACTCAGGATCAATTGTTCAAAAGGGGAATTTTGTTGGATAATAGTGATTTACGTTGTGTGATTTGTTTGTCGGAGGAGGAATCTTTATCACATATTTGTGGTCTTTGTTCGTTAACAGGAAGAATATGGAGGAAGGTGTTTGCTTGGATTGGAAACTTTAAGAAAATAACATTGGGGGGTTTTAAAAATTTTTCTCCTATTTCGATAGGGTAAAAAGTTTACATAGAAGAAATACTATTACGGTTATTTGGTTGACTACGGTGTGGAGCCTTTGGTTGAAGCGCAATGCCATCATTTTCAAGGAAAAGACTTTCAAATTCGACGAGTGTATGTCAAAGATTGTCCTTAATGCGTGGAAGTGGATATACTCCTTTTGTAACATAGTAGATTCTAACGAATTTTATGTGTGGAATACACTACCTTTCCTTTGTTTTAGAACGTAGGAATTTTTCGTTTTTGTAATTAGGCGGAGTATCCCTTATACTCCTTTTATTGAATTCATTACCTATTAAAAAAACTTTGAACTTTTTGCATGATATTATATAAAGAAGAATACACCAAATCTATTGTCCTCGTTAGTAAAATCACCATAAGGAAACAAATATTTATACTCGTAATGGCATATTCCTTTAAGAATAATACATTTGTCACCTATAAAATCAATTTTACATCCTATCACTTACTAATTACATAGTGTACTTTATTTTACTTAATTTAAGATAATATAAGTATGTATGAATAGACATACTCCATTATAACAGAAAAAATGAATATAAAAGTATCTCATTTGAATATAAAATATATTGATACATGTGCTATAAAAAAATTGATAGTACGTGGAAAACTTATTCGAAAGGATATACTTCCTTTTTTTAATAGAGAACTCATAACATTAACAGAAGTAGCCCAAAGAGGGCATTACAGAGTTACAAGAAGGTGGTTCTACCAGCTAAGACCTAAGACCTAGCTCCACAAAGTTTCCCCAAACAAACAAGGTTATGTGAATCAACGTTGAATTGTCTATTTAAAAACATATCATACCTAATTTTAAAACTAGCAAGCAAAGATCTAATATCACTAGTAATAAACTCTAAATCAACCAAGGTGCCAATGAAATTGATACAATCTATGACTGTCAAAGCATCAGACTGCACCCGAGTTTTCTCCAATTGAAGTTCTTTTGCATTTTGCAAACTCCACCAGATGGCCAGCATTTCGGCAGTAGCGGGGTCAACTGACATGAAATCCTTCACGCAAGCAGCATAAATTACCTTTGAATCCCAAGATTTTATCATACACCCGATTGGATCACTGCTAAATCCTTGTCCAAAAGAGCACTCCTGCCGAGGCTTAGGACACTTTCTAATAGCCGCGGGAACCTGCTTATAAAACTCAAGCACACAATCCCAAGCATCCAACGCCATATTATGAGGGTCCTTAAACTTTTGCTGAAAATGCCAAAGATTCCTAGAATTCCATATTTTCCAAAGCAATGTGCACATGAGTTGTGTTCTCAGGGTATCAGTCTCGTCCAAATAAATCAGCAGTCAGTCCAAAATGTCAACATCAGGAGGGATTCTAAAGCTAAGAGGAGAAGAGAAACATGCCAAGCTAGAAAACTCACAGTGCAGAAAGAGGTGTTTAGTAGACTCAGGAAACTCACCACAGAACGAACAAGATGTGTTTAAGTTGATTCCCTTTCGATAGAGATTCAACTTTGTAGGAAGAATATCTTTCCTAAGCCTCTAGAGGAAATTTTTGACCCGAGGATGCAGATTGGCATGTTACACCTTCTTCAAAACCTGCTTATAGGATACGATAGAGGGACCCGATTTCTTTCTCAATAAAGCATGTTAGAGACCATGTTATGTAGATCGAACGGAATAACAACCATTTTTTTCACAGTGCCATATCTGCTCATTATTTGGCCTACAAAGAGAAAGAGGGATGCTAGGGACATGATGCACCTCCGAGGGTTCAAAACGCTCAAGAACAAGGTCACGGTTCTAGGAGACCAAATCTTGGTCAATAAGATCATAAACCTTAGCATCGCTGTCCAAAACACACACAGGGCTCCAAGGCTTGAAACCAAATACCCTAGAGATCTAGTTATCCTTCTGAATTCGAACTTTCCCCGTCCTTATTATCCATCTAGCTTCTTTGGTGACACACTCCTTTGCACTCAAAATACTACGCTATGCATAACTTGGGTTAAAACCAACTGGGGCTTCAATAATAGAGCACTTAGGGTAATAACGACTGTTGAAAACTTTGGAAAAAAGAGAATTATCATTCGACAACAATCTCCAGAAATGTTTCCCTAACAGGCTAGTGTCGAAATTGCCAATACCTCTAAAACCCATTCCCCTAACACCCTTAGAAGTCGCCATCTTATCCCAACCGAGCCAGTGAATTTTCCGCTCCCTATTTTTTGATCCCCACCAGAGTTTTGCCAGCATACTCTCAATCTCATGACACACGCCAACAGGAATCCTATAGCAACTCATAATGTAGCTTGGTATAGCCTAGGCCACAAATTTGATAAGGACCTCATTCCCTGATCTGGATAAGAATTTCTCTTTCCATCCTTTAATTTTATTTCAAACTCTATCAATCACCATGCCAAAAATCTCCTTTTTTATCTACCAAATATCACAGGGGTTCCCAAGTACTTAGAGTGGCGCGTCACAGTCTTTACATGCATCCTATTACAGATCATCTCTTTTGCATCATCATGCACATTTGACTAAAAGACGCCTCATATTTCTCTAAGTTGACCCCCTGCCCAGAAGATTCTTGGTAAACTCTTATGACATTCATGACACAATCCACTTCATTTTCACCTGCTCTAACAAAAAACAAGCTATCATCTGCAAAGAAAAGGTGAAAGATAACGGGTTCCCTCCTGGCAACTTGAATTCTATGAAGGTTCTTGTTCCTGCAAGCTTTCTTTAATAAACATGAAAACATGTAAGCTCAAAGAATAAATAAGTAGGGGGAAAGGGCTCCCCTTGTCGAAGACCCCTTTCCGGAACAAAAACTCTGCTAGGTTGCCTATTAACCAGGATCTGGTAGGAAATTGTTGAATGGAACTGATAAATCAGAGAGACCAAGGCTTCCGGAAAACCCATTGAGGTTAGGGCACAAGTGATGAAATCTCACTCCAATATATATATTTTTTCATCCAATGGAAACATTCCATGGCAATGAGGGCATTATCGGTGATCAATCTACCTTGAACAAACAAACTCTGCTCTTCATCTATTATCTCATGGAGGATCACTTTGACTCTATTAGCTATGGTCTTTGTAACTATCTTTATAACCATATTGCATAGACTAATAGGCTGAAAGTCTTTAGGGGTTTTGGGATTCTTGCACATGGGGATGAGTGTAACAAAAGTGTTGCTGATAGCACTTGGATCTTTTCCTTTGTATAAAATATCCATCACCATACTGTTTACATCCACACCAACAACGATGCCAAAATTTATGATAAAATAACGTAGGAAGACCATAAAGACCCAGAGCTTTGAGAGGATGCATTTGGGAAATGGCCTCTTTAACTTCTAAAGCAGTGAACTCAGCCTCACACCAGCTAACCAAATTCAGACTAAGTTTGTCTTGGATCACAGAGCACACTTCAGGAATGTTGATAGGAGAATAAGTGGTGAAGATATTTGCAAAATATTTCACTAGAATCATTTCACAGTGGATGTCCCCACTCCACCAACATCCCATATCATCCTTCAGTTTATTTATGGAATTATTATTTCTCCTTTGACTAGCTTTTCCATGAAAATAATTAGTGTTGCGATCACCTTGTTTTAGCCACACAACCCTACTCCTTTGGCGCCACATTATTTCCTCAACACGAAAAGATTGTTTCTTTGGTGTTCAAGAGCCCTATAAGCATCAATTTCCTCTTTGCTCGCTGACCAAACAACCTCCTCTTCCAACTTCTGCTCTATCTTTTTTATCTCCTTTCCCACCATGCCTAGTTTGTACTCCTTAAACTCCAGATTCCGATTTTGCATAGCTTTAATCTTCAGATGCCCTACAAGTGTCTCCCATTCCACAACTTCTCAATTGTCTTCTCGCACCTAGGATCCTTCGAACAAGCCTCCTTAAATCTAAACACGTGAACCTTCTTACTTCTCCTCTCATCATCCACTCCCTCCAACTCAATTCTGATAGCTGCATGGTCCAACCCAAAGCGACCTAAATGGATATCCTTCACAGGAGAAAAGTTGTTAATGAAAATTTAAGATGCAAGCCCCCTATCAAGATGACACTGAATATTGGCTTCATCTTGACGCCCGTTAGTCCATGTATAGGGATACCCTTTGAAACCTAAATTAACAAGCCTATATAGCTCTAGCACTTGACGACCCCATAAAATTTGGCCCGAGGTTATGATAATACCACCCTGTTTTTCACTATCTTCCAACACATCATTAAAATCTCCAATACACAAGGCCCTATCACCCCCTTTTTGAATCAATTCCTTCACCAGGACCCAAGTATTCTTCTTCTTGTGTTTGTCCTGAAACCCATGAATTCAATTGAAAAACTAAGGTTGATTGTCAAAATCATCCACCATTGTACCACTAATGTGATTCAATGAGTAAGAAGTCATAGAGAGGTTAACATTCTCCCTCCATAGCAGTGCAAGGCCACCATCTCCATCTCTTCCACTACCACTACAATCCACCGCCAGACACATCTCAAAACCACTTCTTGACTTGATAATTTGTACCTCATCATTCTTAATACGTGTTTCCATAAGAAACACTAGGGAGGGGTTTTCCAGATGGAGGAGCCTCAACAAGGCTCAAACAACACGGGGGCTCTCCAACCCCTTGCAGTTCCAACTTATGGTTTTCATTGGGATAAGTAGTGTTTCTCCCCCAAAACTACCTCAGGTCTATGAGCTATAAAAGTGTTATTCGCCTGACTCTGTTTCCTTTTTTTCCCTCCACAATCTTCAATAGTTCCGTTAGTAGTCATCACATCAATGAGTTGCCTCTTCCCAATATTACATTCTTTTGTCTTCTGCTGTTCTTGTACCACCTTTTTAATTGTTGTATGCCTGGTCCATTTCGTCCTTTTAATAACTTCTTGCTGTTTCCCTCATTTCCTTTCCCTGATTTGGAAATGTACATTGCTCCTAGAGATTCAACCACTGATTCAATTTCCTAAGCACGTGCCTATTTCATTACCTCCTCTTCTCTTCTACCTTTCATAGTTTGCGCCACAATAGGAACCCTTTGTTCCCCTTCAATTTCCCCTTCTTTTTCTTTTCCTTTAGATCTGCATTTGCTTTGACTCGAAGAGATGTTAAATAGTCTCCTTCTGTAGTTCCCGAAGCTTGACTCTTTCCTTTGATCCTTTATAACTCTTGGTAGTGGTGAGGCTCTGAGCCAGAGACCAAAAGATAAATCTTGTTCCTTAATGTCTTCAAAACCTTCTTCACTCAAATCTCCTAGCGCTTCATAATCCTTTAACTAATGGCCCATTCTTCCATAAACAAAACAGAAGGTAGGGAGGCACTCGTATTTGAAGTGAACTCTAAGCGTCTTCTCTTTAAACTTAACCACTGTATCTCTTTTTGTTGTTTCTGGTTTTGAAAAAAATGTCACAGAAAAATTATTGGGATGAGTTGCGTATTAGGTCGCTTTCTTTAAGACCTTTCGTCATACTGTCAATAGTTATGCAAAACAGTCGAGTTTCGACGAAATCTCTAGGATAAAACAATCCATTCAGAAATACGATTATTACTTGCAATGTAATAAATCGTTAGAAGAATTACACCTTTATATGATATAAAACCTGTCGTAGTATCTGGAATTTTCCAGTCGTTGATCACTTAGTAAACCAGTCGAAAACAGAAAAGAAGTTTTGTAGATGAAGCTGAGTAGAGAGAGAGAAAAGAATTCAAATTGTAAATTCTGGAATGCTTACAAATGAACTGAAGAGTTCTATTTATAGGCAAAAAATCCAACTGAATGGAACAAGTATCGTGGAGAAAATTGTGGGAGATAGTGAAATCGGCCCAATCAAATGTAGCCGTTTTTTCACTTGGTCAGCAAGTCACACGTACACGTATGACTCTTGGAGGGCAAGCATAACCAGTCAAAAAATAGGTTAAGACTTGGTTTCTGTGAAGGACACGTCACCATTTCGTAATTAATTAATATTAATATTAATTAATTTCTTATTTTTTTTATTTCCACCAAATTAATTAACTAATGATAATTAATTTCCACTAATTCGGGTTCGAAAAATTAATTCATCTAGACCAAACTGAACTGAGCCGATCGGACAGACGACGGCGGTGGCGCACGCGCGTGTGTGTCTAGATGGCTTATGGGTGTGTGTAGCGGTAGAAATGTTCAAGACTAAGCCATTTGATTGACTAGACTTTATACAAATCAAAATAAAAATCGCCACCGCGCTTTATTGTTTTCAAAGGAATGGGAAAAGAGCGAATAACCCAAAAAGAGGGGGAAAGATTCAAGGTAAGGGGGTTGGTTATGCAAAGGGAAGGTATTAGCATCCTAAACATCTACGGTACTCCGCAGGAACCTCTTTGTAAAATCTGTATATTTTGGCTATATAAAATGGATGGTGGAGGTGAGAAAAGAAATAATTTTTTTAATGATTTTTGCACCTGCCGCGGTTGTGAATCTTTAGTGCCTACGTACCACCTTTCGTGCAATATGGGATTAGGGTACACGTAGTTCCTCTTTTACAAATTTAAAACACAAGTGTGTTGGTTAATTTTAGGAGATAAGACATCATCGTCATTATCCGTGTGGAAAACATACTTACTACCCATAATCACGAGAAAGGAGAATTTGCATCATCTCAAAGTGGAGGATATGGCTTGGATCTTAAAATCAACAATACCTCACTCAACACCCAAGTGGAAAATATCTCACTTCACTATATATTGTAGAAGTATAGTTGTTTGCATCACTACAAGGATTGACAAGAATCTAATCTTTTTAAGAAAAATTTAAAGATAAAAGCCAAAGTGACAAAATGGTTTGAAATGAGATTGATTGACTTTTAGTCTTCTCACAAAAAATGTCAAGGTATTATTAAATTGATTGAAGTTTATTTATGAAAATGTTTTGAAAATGCATGGACATAAGTCCAAGTTTATTATGAAAATGATTCAAGTTTCAAAACAAGAAGAGTTTTTTAAAAGGAGGGAGAAGATTTTTGAAATTAAAGAAGATGGGAGGAGATGAAGAGACTATCCTAAAGCATAAGGTAAAAGCTAGGGATAAGAACCATCTAACCAACAAGAAGCCAATACTTGACATTATGAGTCAATATAGAATTCTCATTCTTCGGATTGAAACCAAGCAAGCAAAGATACTAGACCTCTTGAGAGAACCAAACTTCAAGTGTATTTAGTCTTCACAAAAATTGGACAGAGTAACGGCTGTATACGGGTGAATTCTAGATTACAAACTGATCTAACCTGATCAGACTTGGACCGTCACGGCTGGCTCCGAGCTGAAGTTTTGAACGAGGTGGGGGGGGGGGGGGGGGGGGGGGGTACCTGCAAGGCACTCTGATTCTGAAGTAAGTAAGAGCACGAGCAGGCAAGAGTATGAGTATGGGTAAAAGAATGAATACCTGATCCTCTGGGAACATAGGGTATTTATAGCCCCCAGCGTTGGGCCAAGGTTCCTTCATTGGGCCGGGCAGGTTTGGCCCAATGGAGGAACTGCCAGGTTCTACGTGTGTAGTGGGGACCCGCACGTGGTCCCCTTCCTGGATGTTCTGCGTGAAGTACGGACGGACGAGGACGCGGTCTTTTCGGGATCCAGGTGATGGTGTAGTGGACAGAGTCTGCCCTAGGAGGAGTGCTCGAGCTGAGGTCGAGCAGGATAGCATGAAGTCGAGGATGTCGCACTGGCATAGAGTGTCGGGCACGGCTGCGGCCCTTGGTCAGCGTGATTCCTTGCAAGACTGTTTGGATTGGGCCTTCACCATTGCTTTTGGGCCAGCCCGGCCCAGTCCAGAACAGGAGCCCCCCAAGTCGTGGTTCCTGTAGTAGGAGCCATGACTTAATCTTAGGTCGCCTGCGTCACGGGGTCCCGTTCCCGGCTAAAAGATGTAGTTCCCGCGGCTTGCTCGAGGAGTTTTCCCCGTGTCGGGCCCATGAGATAATTCTGCTCGAGGAGCGCTCGGGGAATCTCGACGGGCTGCGTTCGTTGAGCACATGAGGCATCTCTTGGGAACCGTGCCGCCACCCTACTGACGATAGGGTCATCATTGCCTAGGGGAGCTACACGTCGAGGAGGGAAGTTCTGTGGTTCCCCGGGATGACGTTTCGTATTCCACGTCATCACTATAAATAGGGTCCTTGGGCCCCAGAACGTGTTTTTCCTCTTCGCGCCTCTCATCTTTCCTCTGTTTCTGCTGTTGCTGTTCTTCCCAGATATTCATAGGACCGCTGCGATCTCCGTCGCTGATTCCCTTTCTCCGCCGTCGCACCTCCTTTCTGATTACAAGTAAGTGTCTCGCTCCCTTTGCTTTTCCTCTGTGATGCGTGACATCTTTCATTGTTTTTAGACGTTAGAGACTGCACGTCGGGGATTAGCCCCGGTACATTCGTATTTAGCTCGACAAATCCATGTGTTTGCCCGGCGAACGCATGTTTGCGCCCGGTAAATGCATAGTTTAGGTATTTGACTCGCAGTGCCGCCCGAGATCTTCATGATTCAGGGCGCCTAATTCTTGGTAGTGCCCGGTAAACTCATGGCCCTAGTTTTGAGACTCATGATATCGCTCGTCACGTCCATAGCCTAGGTCGACATATTTGTGAGTGGTCGAGATGT